AAGGAAGAATTAGTATTTTAAAAATGAGGTGGTTATTACAGGGATGTGTATCAACGTGGTAATTTCAATTAAAAGGCAGGTTTTTATTTTGTTTGGCAGAAATCTATTCAGTTTGAATGGCTTGAACATAAGGATTGGCTACTTAGATTATGGGTGCAGGTTTTGTCTATAAATTGAATTGACTAAATATTTATGGCCAAACAGCCAGAGACAGCCAGAAGTCATACAGAATGAAGTATACAGAAACAAAAGAATGTAAAGCATAAAAGAGTAAGGAAATACATATCATATCCAGGTGGAGTCCCAGATTAGTGGGAAGAAAGAAGAGGGATGAAGACTGAGTAGCTGGAAGTTTTTCAGAATTGAAGAAAAGTCTGTTTTTGTTAGTGTGATTATGTTGTACAAGCTATACCTGTCAGTAGTTGCTATTTAGGATTCTTTATTATTTTGGAGACAGGGACTTGTTATACATCCCAGGCTGGCTTTGAACTCATGATGACATCCCTGCCTTAGCCTCCTGAATGCTGGGATTAGAGGTGTGCACTACCATGCCTGTTTTAGGATTTTTTAATATTGTGCTTTCTCTGATATACAGGCTTGTCAAATCTGTAATGTCCTTAGCTATTAACCTTTGAAAATATCTCTTCACTGTTCTCTCCCATCATGCTATTAGGTAAATGTCAGATTCTTTCATTCTAAAACCTTGAATTTGGACTAATTACTTTCATTTAAGTTGGTTGTCTGTTTCCTTAGTGTTTTCTTTTTATTAATACTTTTAGTCATTTAAACATTCGTTTTATAATATCTGTCATTTTTCAGTGTCTAACTTTAGATTGGCTTTTCTGCTCAAAGTTGATTTTCTTTTTGTTTGCTACATTTTTTTGAGACACAATGTCACATAGTTTAGGCTATCCTTGAATTCATTGTTCAGTTCAGACTTTTCTCAAATTTATAACAATCTTCCTGCCTCAGCCTCCTGGTTCTGGGATCACAGACATGTGCTACCATTCCTGACTTCATGGTTGATTGATTCTCTTTTGGTACATGTTTGTTGCAACACATAATGATTATATTCTTTGGGGTGTTGATAGGTTGATTGATTCTTGGTATGTTCTAAAATTTTAGATTATGAGTTTATGTTTGGTAGTCTTTGTGGGAAATCTAGCAAAATCAAATACTGTAGAGTATGTATCTGGAAGAACAACAAAGGCTTCTCACAGACAATGCCCTGCTAAGCATGAACTCGTAACAAGCTTGTAGTTGTGGATACTCAGAAGAGAAATTCTTTTGCCTCCTCTTCAACCTACTTTGGTGCTTTCATCTTCCTTGCCAAGACAGAAAAATGTATTTGTCTTTTCCTTTATGTGTTTGTTGTCCTTGTAACATGAAACAATAATCATTGTCACCATCGTTGGCCTTTTTCTCCCCTTTTGATCAGGTTTATCAAAATATAAAATTCAGCAATCTCCCCCCTCCCCCACCCCATGTTAGCAATCATGTTTGGGTCTTGTGCCGGGTAGAGAAACCTACTCTAGAGTTATATACTCAACCAACAATTTCAGCACTTTTTTTTTTTTAATGGACATTGATCTCATGGATTTTTTGCGTGCTTGGCAAGTGCTTTACTGTTCAGTTACATCTTCAGCCAGCATTTGTGTGTGTGTGTGTGTGTGTGTGTGTGTGTGTAACCAGGGATTGAACTCAGGCCCTTGCGCTTGCTTATTCTACTGAACTATCTCCCCAGCATAGCCAGCAATTTTAAATGTATAATTTTGATGAGTAGTACCACAATCATGATAATAGAGCAATTTCACCATCCCTAAAAGTTCTCATATGCTCTTTTGCTGTTAGGTTGCTTTCCCCAACCTCTGGTAATTACTGGTCCATTCTTTCCCCTTCCCTTCCTTCCCTTTCTGTGTTGTGTTGTGTTTTGTTTTGTTTTAGGACTACTGAGTATTGAAGCATTAGACATCTGCTAAGTATATATAAAAACAACTTATTTCTTTCCATTCTTTGTTTTTTGTTTTGTTTTTTTTGGCAGAACCAGGGATTGAACTCAGGCCCTTGCACTTTCCAGGGAAGCGCTTATTCCACTGAGCCATCTCCCTGGCCCTTCTTTCCATTCTTGATAGCTTTTTTTTTCTTACCTGTATGTACTGTCCTGAACCTGTAGTACAACGCTGAGCACAAATGGTGATTACATCTTTGCTTTTAGGGAACCGTCCCATATGAGGCTTTAAGTGTTCAGACAGGTTGGAGCAAAGTGTTTTGGAGTTGACTACTGTCTCTATGAAGCTAGGATTTGTGATTTAGGCTAAAGAACCAGGTAGTCAATAGTGAGCTTGTCCTGTCTCACATTGTTTATTGATAGAAAATAGACTGGAAATAATGAAATGGACATACTAATGTAGAAAATCAGAGTTGTATTGGGTGAAAGTGGTCTATAAAAACATTAAAGATAGAGCTTAGAGTATGTAGATCAGTGGCACCTTTATAACCCTAACTACTTGGGAAGCTGAAGCAGGTGACTCAGAATTTCAAGGCCATCCCTGGCAACTCAGCAAGATCCTGTCTCAAAAATAATAATTAGGGGCCGGGGAGATGGCTCAGTGGAGTAAGCGCTTCCCTGGCAAGCGCAAGGGCCTGAGTTCAATCCCCGGTTCTGCCAATAAAAAAAGAAAAGAAAAAAATAAAGCTTAAATAATAATAATAATAATAATTTTAAAAAGTAAAAAGAGGCTGGAGATATATAGTTAGGTACCTCATTAATTAACTAATGAAAGGAGACCTTAGAAGACAAGTGAGCAGGGCCAGGGAGATGGCTCAGTAGAATAAGCACTTCCCTGGCAAGCACAAGGGCCTGAGTTCAATCGCTTGTTCCACCAAAAAAAAAAAGTGAGCAAGGAGCTGGAGAGATAGCACAGCGGTCTAAGTGCCTGCAGAAACGTGAGCAGCTATCACCAGATCTTTACTTCCAGTTGTGTGTCATCCATAAGTTTTAATTTTCTAGTGATGCTATTCATTACTACAGGGTGATTTCAAGAAAAAGAATAATCTTTGACTTATAGCTACGGTCTTTTGACATCATAATTAAATTTAGGCTTGTAACTTTATACAGTAGCTGTTGTTTAGAAGTTTGTCTTGTCATATATTAGGGGATAAATACCTGAGTCAGAGTAACTAAGTGAAAGAAAACTTGAGATAATTCTAGTACATCTGATAAAAATCTTGTGTTCACAAAGATATATATTTTGTACAGGGTTTCTCTCACTACACAGCTCAGACTCATAGTGAGCCTCCTGTTTTGGCCTCCCCAGTGCTGGGATTTAGGCATATGCCTCCACAGACTCAGTGGCTGGCTCAGTGTGCCCAAGGGCAGGGCTGGCAAGGCATTAGATCCATCCCTGTTCCTTCTGCTTGCCTAAGCAGGTGCTTAGTCTAAGCTATGTCACAGGCCCTGACCTTTTATGTTAGAAATCGATACATAACTATTAATCAAGTACCTACTTTTTTTCTTTCTTGTTACTGTTAATCTAAATCACGAGTGTCTTTTGTACTTTAAGTGAGCCATAAATAATAAAGTAAGTTTTGAAGAGTACATTTTTAGGAAGGGGGAAATTTTATGAAGGCTTTCTTACCACATTTCATTATCTACAGTAATATAAGTAATTGTATTAACTGCTAAGATATATAAGTTTTCCTGAAGTTCAAAGGTTATGTTTTTCAAAAGGGTTCATTTCAGTTTTTTGTTTGTTTTTGTGGTACTGGGGATTGAACTCACAACCCTGGGCTTGCCAGGAAAGTGCTTATTCTACTGAGCTATCTCCCCGGCCCTTAGCAGTTGTTAAGTGACGAAGCTGTTTTCCATCCAGCTACGAAATAATCGTGAGCACTACAGTGACTCAGGTCTTCTCTAAGTAGGTATGGAAGGTGATATCTACTGGACAAGAAACATTGAAAACTAGGTGAGGTGTGGAAGGCACCTGAGCACAGGAGCTTCTGTCCCAGTGAGTAGGGTACATCACCCTCCAGGCATGTTGATAGGACCGCCAGCCCAGAGGCACACCAGCAGCCTGGAATCTCATCACATCTCCTGTTCAAGAGTTTTTTATAAAGATTAATTTCCAGTCATCACGGAAGTTCTGTGGGTGGTGCTGAAAGTTTCTGGAGGGTGGGAGATATTTGTAACCAGGAATGAGGACCAAAAACATGTATTACCACACAAAGTGGTTTTGTGAGAATGTTTTATTGTTAATGTACTATTTTAACTTTGTCCTTCAGATATTTGAATTTGAGCTGCATTTTGGAATTCATCTGTACCTAAAATGCCAGTGGCCGTTGGAGGACCAGTTGGATATACCCCCCCAGATGGTGGCTGGGGGTGGGCAGTGGTAATTGGAGCTTTCATTTCTATTGGCTTCTCTTACGCATTTCCCAAATCCATTACTGTCTTCTTTAAAGAAATTGAAGATATATTCAGTGCTACCACCAGTGAAGTGTCATGGATATCCTCCATCATGTTGGCTGTCATGTATGGTGGTGGTAAGTAGCTATTAAAGCCTGCTCTTCTAATTTTCATTAAGCAGCCAGAGTCCCTATATTAGGTTATGATGTCATTGTCATTGTTTGAATTTCTCATTTAGTTAGATGAGTTGAAATGTTATTTCTTGAAGTACACACTGTCTTTAGGGACACATTTTTCATTCTGGTTTTTTTTTTGTTGTTGTTTTTTTTTTCTTCTTTTTTGGGGCGGAACCGGATTGAACTCAGGCCCTTGGGCTGGCCAGGGAAGCACTTATTTCACTGAGCCTTTTCATTCTTTTTTCTTTTTTTTTTGGAACCAGGGATTGAACTCAAGTCCTTGCACTTGCCAGGGAAGCGCTTATTCCACTGAGCCATCTCCCTGGCCCAGCCTTTTCATTCTTGATAACAATGACACCTGCTGTATTTGTTCCATTGTAAAAGCTTCTGATTTTCTTCAATTCAACTATCATTGAACTTTTAAAGCTCTCATAAAAACTGTCCACAACTGTTTTGTTTTGTTTTTACCTGTTTTTTGACATAAAAGCATGAATATAGTTTCTTTTCTTTTCTTTTTTCTTTTCTTTTTTTTTCACAACTGAGAATTGAACTTGAACATAGTTTCTTAAGATTGTTTGAAGAATTAAATTAGACTAAGCTGAATAGCATAATTCAGAGTACATTTAAGTAAAATGTTTTAATGGTATTAGAAATTAAAGAATTGAATAAAACTTTCCCTTGTTCTTTATTGTTTTTATAAATTTAGGGCAGGGCCTATGAGTAGATCAGATTCGAGTGATCTTCCTGTTTATAGCTTCCCAAGTACTGGGATTACAGGAGCATGCCACCAGGCCCAGTCTCAATCACCAATTCAGTGCACCCCAGGGGTGGGGCTGGCATGGTAGTCCTGGGGGTTGAACCCCTGGTCCCTATGCCTGCTTGCAGGCACTTTAATCTGCTGAGCTATTTGGCCAGCCCTTACATTTTGAACATAGGACTGTTTCGTCTCTAAAATGCATTTTTAAAGAACCTAAGTGCTAAATTGTGGTACTTTTTGGAAATAAATTTAGAGAAATTAAAAAAGATTTTGGGACATAATCTGGTTTCTGAGAGCCAACACTTTTACAGGCTTTGAATTTCAGTCTGCCAGATATCTAATCAGATTTTTGATGATGATGGCTTGAAGAAATTGGTATAAAAACCCTCCAGAGGTGCTCCAGGTACCTCAGCCAGTTTACGCTAAATACAAACCAGAGGTTTACTTGTTGCAGTTCTGAGCTGCCAAGAGCTATGGAGCCATTGTGGTGTTTTGTATCAAGTGATGTCACTTGTGCTCATTGCAGATGACACTTTCCTTTGGGGAAACAGTTCCTTCTTTGTCTTCATCCATTTAGTAAAATAATTGGCACATTTCTTTGAGTTTGTGTTATAATCATCCTATAAATTGTGCCTTTCTATTTTTACTGCTAGCTAATTAGGGCCATCCTTGAAACACTAAAAGACAAATTGCCTATCATGAGCTTTGTGACAGTTTTTACAAAATAGGTTATTTAGATTCTGGCTTTTTAAGTAATACGGTCCCTCAGAATTTAAATCACTTTTACAATTGTCATAACCCTTTAACTTAGCCACTGTGCTCTGAATAGCAGTATGTTTTGAGCTGTGAGTGATTTTGGTTTTCTGTTGGTGCTTTGGGTTAGAGATGCATACTGATGATCATTAGAATGTAAAGGGCCGGCCAAATAGCTCAGCAGATTAAAGTGCCTGCTTGCAGGTACAGGGGCCAGGGGTTCGATTCAGGGGCCTGCTGTGCCAACTCCGCCCCCGGGGTGTGCTGAGACAGCCATTGAGACTGCGTGGTGTTGTGCACCTGTAATCCCAGCTCTTGGGAGGCTTTAAACAGGCAGATCACTAGAGTCTGATCTAGTAGTGAAACCCTGAACACCCTGTAGACCCTTCCCTAAAACTACCAAAAAAAAAAAAAAAAAAAGTATATATATTTTGGTAAAGATTTTAGTTACATATTTTGAGTTTTTCCTTTTTTATAAAAATTTGAAAGTATAAATTTACATATTTTCAGTTCTACAATGTTCACCTCAATATTGCTGACTTGGAATTTCATTAGAAATACTGCAAAATTTATATCATTAATTTATACCTCATAGAGTAAATAGTGTATTAGTGTTGATCTTCATAATTCTGACATAAATTCTTAAATATGGAAACGCTTTATGTTTTTTCAGTATTCAGTTCTTTTACAAGCTTGCATTCAAATTACTTTCTAATTGTTTGTTACCTAACTTTTCATTAAATGGCGATCTTAGAGTATCTAGTGAAAGCATATTCCTCATCCATGGCACCTTTTTTGTTGTTGTTAAACCTGCCTGTCATAATGCAGAAGGGAAACAGGCTCCCTTGGGCCTCTTTTATAAGAACTCTAATCCCATTCATGACGCTTAAAGGGCCTGCTTTTTTTTTCCATGCCAATAATCAAACTCAGGACCTTGCACTGGCCAGGCAGGTGCTGTACTGCTGAGCTATATCCCTAGCCTCAAAGACCTGCTGATTAATACTATTCCTTTAGGGCTTAACTTTCAACACAGGAGATCTAGGGAGAGACCACTATTCGGGTCATAGTGGTGATTCAGAAGGCATTGATGAAACTGCTTCGTGCACACTTGGGCTGTCTTTTTGGCAGGTAGTTTCTAACTCTACCCCTCAGTGAGATTTGGTCTTCAGGAACATGAGATGGGATAATCAAAAGCACTAACTTCTTATACACTTATGGAATATCTATCTGTGTAGAATTACCAAGTGAGATTGGTCTTGAAGTCACTATGTAGTCTAGGCTAGTCTTAAGTTTACAGCTTACAGTTTACAGTGATCCTCCTGCCTCAGCCTCCCAAGCACTGGGCCTATAGTTGTGTGCCACTACACCCAACTTGTACCAAAGTTTATACTGTTATCTGACTTTAATTTCTTGCAATCATTTTTCCCCAATATTGCTACCATGAAACATAGTAATATGAGAATGGAGCCAAGTAATTCTGAAAGATATTATCAATTTACTACCTAAAACATCCAGATTTATTGGGAGGGGTTTTTTGTTTGATGTTTGCTTTTTAATTGAAATGACATTCTTGAAAAGCTCCTTAATCTTGGGGAAAAATGATTATTGTTGCCTTTTTAAAATAAAAATGTTGGGCCGGGGAGATGGCTCAGTGGAATAAGCGCTTCCCTGGCAAGCACAAGAGCCTGAGTTCAATCCCCAGTTCCGCCAAAAAAGAAGAAATTAAAAGATAGAAATAAAGCCTAAAATAAAAATGTGGGGCCGGGGAGACGGCTCAGTAGAATAAGCGCGTGCAAGGGCCTGAGTTCTGCCAAAAAAATAATAATAATGATAATAATAATAAATAAAATTGTGATACAAGCCTGGGCTACATAGTGAGCTCAAGGCTAGCCTAAACTACATAGTGAGAGCCTGTCTCATAAAAGTGAGCCAAGCAAACAAAAAATGCTTTAAAGTCAGAAATTTATTCAAATGTGTACATACATCTCATCATATTAGTGTGGGTGTCCAGAAATTAAAACAGAAAAGACTTATTAAGTATGTTGGGCATGTCTTAGTATTGGATGATGCCTTATAGTTTAGCAAAATTTCATCTAATATTTCTAGATATAGCATATGTACAATCAGTACTGTTGGAACATCTTCATTTTTATTTTTCAGCACACAAAAAACTATAGAAAGCAATATTCCTTTCATTGCCTTTTGTTTATCCTAGAGGACTTGTTATATATTATCATTTACGCCTTATGTAGGGGCGAGGGAATAAGTTTCCTTTGTACTACTAATTTTTTTTTTCTTTTGCTAGGTCCTATCAGCAGTATTCTGGTGAATAAATACGGCAGTCGCCCAGTCATGATTGTAGGTGGCTGCTTATCAGGCTGTGGCTTGATTGCAGCTTCTTTCTGTAAGACTGTACAGGAACTTTACTTTTGTATTGGAGTCATCGGAGGTAAGTTGCTGCTAGTTTTTTCCCCCAAGCATGGCTTTATTCCTTTTCACCTAAATTTATCTTGCAGATCTTTTTAAATTAAATCAAGTTTATTCTTTCATGAAGAGCTGAGGATAAAATAGTAGTAGAAAGTAAACTTTTAACAAAATTTGTTACAAAATAGGTGCTTATTGTTTGTTGAATCAAAAGAAATGATCTCTTGGCCTAAAAATCACCTGTGGTGGCAGGTAAAATGTATGTGGCAACTTGTGAAACTGCGTAATACTGATGAGTATAATGTTAAAAGATTATTCATAATTTCACAACCCAAGGAATATCACTACTGACTTTCTCGTGTGTGTCTTTCCATTCCTTTTTCTATACATAAAGCTAACCATTTTTTAGAACAAAAACAATCAAGTTTTGTATGTTTGTTTGTTTGTTTTCTTGGAACCAGGGATTGAACTCAGGACTCTGCGCTTGTCAGGCAAGTGCTTATTCTACTAAGCTATCTCCCGGGGCCCTAAGTTTTGTCTTTTTTTTTTTTTTTGCCGACCCAAGGCTAATCTTTTTTTGTTTTGTTTTGTTTTTGTTTTTTGCGGTACTGGGGTTTAAACTCAGGACCTGTGCTTGCCAGGCAAACACTTATTCTACTGAGCTATCTCCCTGGCCCAATTTTTTTGATTCAGTGTATCATGAATATCTTTGAATGTCATTAAGTCTTCTGATAAATGACAAATTTATTTAATCTGTTACTTCGTTGAATAGATATCACCTTTCTGTATGTCTCAAACTTTTTCTTCTTCACAGCAGTGTTATTATGTTCCTTTTCTAAACATTAGGAAATAGTCTCAAAAGGGTTCACATAACTGAAATTATAGGAGAGGTTTTTTTTTTTTTGGTTTTTGGTGCCAGGGACCAAACCCAGGGCTTCCAGCTTGCTGGGCAAGCATTCTACCACTGAGCCAAATCCCTAGCCCCTATCTGAAATTATATGCCCAGTAAATAATGATGCAGAGGTTGGATCCCCAGCATGCTGTGCCGGCCCCACGCCTGGGGCGCGCTGAGATTGGGGACGGTGGCATGCGCCTGTAATCTTAGCACTTGGGAGGCTGAAAACAGGAGGATCACTATGAGTCCGATCTGTGTAGTGAGACCTGTAGACCCTGAACTAATAAATACATTTAAAAAAAAGATGCTGAAATTTGAGCCCATGAGTCTGTTTCAGTACACTTTAAATCTTATACACCGTCATCTAATAATGAGGATTTTAATGTCCTTTCCATTGCTATTCCTCTTATTTTTCTTATCTAATTAATACCATATGTGTCTGGCATTTATTACAATGCATAGTTTCTTCCCCCTTCCTCCTAGGTCTTGGACTCGCCTTTAACTTGAATCCAGCTCTGACCATGATTGGCAAGTATTTCTACAAGAAGCGACCACTGGCCAATGGGCTGGCCATGGCAGGCAGCCCTGTGTTCCTCTCTACCCTGGCCCCCATCAATCAGGCTTTCTTCGGGATCTTCGGCTGGAGAGGAAGCTTCCTCATTCTCGGGGGCCTCCTCCTAAACTGCTGTGTAGCAGGAGCCCTGATGCGGCCAATAGGTCCCAAGTCAACCCCGACAGGAAAAGTTCATGCTAAAGAAGCTGGAAAATCTGATGCCAAAAAAGATGTAGGTGAAGCAAGTACAGATCTCATTGGAGGAAACCCCAAAGAGGAGAAACTGTCGTTCTTCCAAAAAATTAATAAATTCCTGGACTTGTCCCTGTTTACGCACAGAGGCTTTTTGTTATACCTCTCTGGAAACGTTGTCATGTTTTTTGGACTCTTCACACCTTTGGTCTTTCTTAGTAATTATGGCAAGAGCCATAAAAATTCTAGTGAGAAATCTGCCTTTCTCCTATCCATTCTAGCTTTTGTTGACATGATAGCTAGACCTTCTATGGGACTTGTGGCCAACACAAAGTGGATACGACCTCGAGTTCAGTATTTCTTTGCTGCTTCTGTTATTGCAAATGGGGTGTGTCATATGCTGGCACCTTTATCCACCAGCACTTATGTTGGGTTTTGTGTCTATGCTGGATTCTTCGGATTTGCCTTTGGGTGGCTCAGCTCTGTATTATTCGAAACCCTAATGGATCTTGTTGGACCCCAGAGATTCTCCAGTGCTGTGGGATTGGTGACCATTGTGGAATGCTGTCCTGTCCTCCTGGGACCACCAATGTTAGGTATAGTATGTCTTCCTTTTTTGTGGCTCTGTTATAAAATAGTCCTACCATTCAAGATTGGAAAGGGTAGAAAGCAAACAATACGGAACTGTTGTGTGGCAAAGAGCAAGCCTTAGTCTGTATCCTGGTGCTCATGTAATGCTTGATATAGCATAACTGCTGAAATCCTCCAGAATATAACGAAGAACCATAAACTGTGTGTGGGGGAGATAAAATCTCATAGAACTAATTTTCTGGTCATAAAATGTTAATTGTAAAAAAGCAACTTCATCTTTAAAACTGGAGATTTCATTTTAGTGGTCTATTTTACTATGGTAGTAGTGTAATAGTAACTATTATGTAAACAAACTGCTAGCGACTATCCTAACAATTCTGTGTATCTTGTTGCATCTCACCAGGCTATAAAATAAAACTATTTTAGTAACCTCCTTCATAGGTGAAATTGAGGCTGTAAGAGGTAGAATACATCAGGTATTGTGGCCCACACCTGTAATCCCAGCATTCAGGAGACTGAGGCAGGAGGATCACCGTAAGTCTGAGGCTAGCCTTAAGTGCATAGTGAGACCTTACCCCCTCCCTCCAAAAAAAGAATACAAAATTTTGAAAAGGTGACACAGTTTGACTAGTTAGTATTCACACAGCTTGCAAGTCAGTATGTTAGTGGAAAACTAGTCCCTAAATTTACTAAGTACTTAATCTTTAATCTTTCAAATTAGTATCTCAAAAAAAATTAGTATCTCCATAGATATCACACAAGAAATAATTTGAAATACTTTGAGATATGATTTATACTTTTAGAAGTTCATTTTGGAGAATGCACATACATAACAAATAAAGGGTTTCCACAGTCTTGATAATGCTCTCCTCCACCTAACCCCTATGAAATGAGTTGTCAAGTCTTGTCAACATTTCTTCTTGTTTGTAAATCTTCATAATCTGCCCATTTTTCTCCATAACTGCTGTCACCTTTATCTAAACTTCTCTCTTCTGTTTGGAATGCCCTTAGGCACTAAGTTGTCTCTTAACTTGACCCTGGCTGTTCTTAAGCCATTTGCACCTCTCCATTTGCTTCCCATCACCCGTAGAGTGAAAAGTAGATTCCTTGATGACTTCCGAGGATTAGCAAGGCCTCAGCTGCCTCTCCACTCCGGCTTCCTCGCACTGGCCTTTTGCTCTCTGCTACAGCACCTAGCTCTTCCCCTCTCGTGCACCCTGCCTCTTCCTCTACCCCAGGGCCTTTCCACTTGCTGTTCTGCCTGCCTGCTGCCTGCCTTTTTCTCTTAGATGACCCTGTCCTCCTGCAAGGCTCAGTTGACTCTTCAAGGGAAGACACATTCCTCACCCTACTTTCTGTTCCACCTCTTTTACTTTCAGAACATCCTTGGGAGCATTTGTCATAGTTTATGTACAGTAGTACTTTGGTTCATGAACTTAATTATTTCCATGATTCTGGAAATTGGACAAGAACCAAATTAAATTTCCTATACGGTCAACATTGAACCTAACCATTGAATTCTTAAAACTGTACAAAGAAGATAGCTGTAGAATCTACCTGTTATAAGGGCTAGATACTTAGAATAGTGGCAAGTTCTGCTATGAAGTGTGTAGTACAGGGCAGGTGCACACAGCACGCTCTTCGGGAAATGCTGATAAAGAGCCTTGGCCTTGGTAACTTGAATAGCTCTATGGCTTTGGACAAGACTCCTGGACCTCTTTTGAGCAACAATTTTTTTTTCCATTATAAGGAAAATTGATAGTAAGTGATCTTTAGGTCTTAGTCTAATTCAAATTTTCCAAGAGTTGATTATCTTCAAGTTGTTAAAAATATCAAAATATCCAATCTAAGTCCATCCAAAAATCAGAAAATACAGAAGATGAAATACTTTAGCAGTTTCTTTTTAAACATTGATTTGTCTGAACTCTGAAGATTAACATCAAGGCCAGGGAGATGGCTCAGTGAAATAAGCGCTTCCCTGGTAAGCACAAGGACCTGAGTTCAATCCCCAGTTCCGCGCAAAAAAAAAAAAAAAAAAAAAAAGATTAACATCTTTCTGGGATTTTTAAGTTTGGAGAAAGGCTTTTTTTTTTTTTCTCTCTCTCGCAGAACCAGGAATTAAACTCAGGCCCTTGCACTTGCCAGGCAAGCTCTTATTCTACTGAGCTCTCTTCCTGGCCCCAAGAGAGGGTATTCTTGTTAACTTTTAACCACATAGTTTGTTTTGTTTTGTAAACATTTTTTAGGTCGTCTCAATGATATATATGGAGACTACAAATACACATACTGGGCATGTGGTGTAATCCTAATTATCGCCGGTATTTATCTCTTCATCGGTATGGGCATCAATTACCGACTTCTGGCAAAAGAAGAAAAAGCAGAGGAGAAGCAGAGAAACAAAGGTAAAGAGGAAGAAACCAGTATAGATATTGATGAGAAGACAAATGAAATAATTAAAGCAGCAACATCTTCAGAGCAGAAAGGCCCAGGAGAACCCAAAGAAGAAGAGAGTCCATTTTGAATCTGTGCGGTTGAAGGGTGAATGGAACAGGTCATGGCCTAAGTCGTTGAAAACATCTGACCCTCCTACAGTCTCCCGTGGTGCTCAATGCAGACAGTGGACATTTATGTGAAAAACATACCAGATGTTCATGGATGGAATTTTTGTTTCACTCCTTACCAATAGTCTGAATTTAGAATACCATACTTTTTGGGGAGGGAGTGGTCGGCAAAGGATGTGGGGAAAAAGTAGGGTTGTTTTGTTTTATTTGAATCATAGCTTTTAACAGTGTCATAAAAATTATGTGCCTTAAGTTTTAGTCTTTAGAACTCTCTAGAGAGCCTTAACTTTTTAAACCCATTCTGCTGTATTCTCTATTTTAAGTAGCAGCTTAAAAGAAAAATAACTTATTTGAGGCAACTGTAAAATTTAATCTTGCTTCATTGTTATTTGTAATGTGCTGTCAGACATTGTTACTGAAACATTTATGAGCAGAAATGTTGGTTATATTGGTTGAAGGTTTTCTTGTCTTCAGTACTGGGGATTGAACCCATGGCCTTTGCACTGAGCTATGTCCCTACCCCTTGTAAATTTTGTTTTGTTTTGTCTTCAGACAGGATCATGGTAAGTCACTAAGTAGCTCTGGCTGGGTTTGAACTTGTGGGAGATTTTATAATAAAATGCTAAAATATTTTTCTAGTATCCGTAGTTGCCTGGCGTATATGCCTGATAGCTAAGTATTTAGGAAATTTAAAGCATAAAACTTGGAAAATGTCTTGGTTAGTCCCGCCACATAGTATTTGTTAATTAATACTTCTTGGGTACCTTTTCTGTAATACTTACTGGAAGCCAAGTATTTGAGTATTGTTTTCAATGATTTACTACTTTTTCTTCCCTGTTCAGTGATATTTTGACTGAATATAGATCATTGCCCATTTTGAATTATTTCTCTCACCATAGAAGTATTAAAATCTAAAACATTATATATTCATGGCTCCTCACTAAATATTCCTTGCTAAAACACGGGCTGCCAATATAGCTCAGCAGACTAAGCTCCTGCTTAGGCAAGCTCAGGGACTGGGGTTCGATCCCTGGCACCACATGCCACACTGACCCTGCCCCTGGGCACACTGAGCCGGCCACCAAGACAGGGTGTGGTGGCGCATGCCTGTAATCCCAGTGCTGGGGAGGCTGAAAACAGGAGAATCACTATGAGTCTGAGCTGCATAGTGAGACCCTGTACCATATACATTTAAAAAAAAAAAAAAAAGCAAAACATCTAATTAACTATAGACAGAAACTTTAAGCATCAACTGAATTCAGCTTATGTTGTTTTAAAAGCTTAATTATACCATACTACAAAGCTATTAGAATTTGTGTGTGTTTTCATTTTGTTCTGATGGGTACTTTGGTGGTGCTGGTGTTGAACCCACAGCTTTAGACAGCTAAGCAGACTACCACCTTGCTGTACCACCAACCCCCAGGGGTCTTTTTCTTTTTTGTGTGTGGAATTTTCCCTCTTCCATTTCGGTAGTTTCATCTATATTTGCTTCCATCTGTATGTGAGATGTTCAGTATAGATAAGATGTATTTGTATGTGATTTCTGTTTTATTTTTACATTTTTTTCCTTCAGTGTTTGCAGATTCAAGTGTGCCAAAATTACATAGCTATAGGCAAACCAATAAAGATAAGATTTGAAGAGATGTCATAAAATATGCATACATTCAGTAAAATTCCTTTTCTCCCCCAGATGGCTTAACAAGAAAATTATGTTTTACTTAGAATTATTGGACATTTTTATTCTGGACACAAATCTGAAGTTTTATGAACTTTTTCACCACTAAACTATAGAAAGATGAATTCAGTATAAAGACAGGAAGAGCGGCTGGGGAGATAGCTCAGTTGAATAAGTGCTTGCCTGGCAAGTGCAAGGGCATGAGTTCAATTCCCAGCTCTGCCAAAAAAAGGAGGGTGGACTAGAATGAAACCAAATATTTTTTAACCTAATGTCTGAAAAATTGAGCAGAAGCATACATTCAGTGAATTGCATTCAGTGCATTTAAAATATTGTAATTAATGGGTGAAAGATTCAAAATTTTGTGTGAAGCTGACTTTCAAATAAAGCATTCATTTTATTTTTAGAAAAATATTTCTTCCTCTAAATGTTTTCTCATTTTCTTTCAGTTTGGTGCTTGCTAATATTAAATAATCCAGCCTATGTGCCTTGAGATTTGTATATATGGCTTTTCTTCATTTGTGCTCTTTGCTTTTTGGTAAGCTGGAGGGCAGTCTTGACAGTCTCCCTTAGGAACAGAAGGACTATCCTTGGGATGTGCGGAACAGGGCTGAGGGCGGAAGGCCGCACAGGCTTGGACTCTGCCGTCTCCCTGGCCCTAGGTGTGACTTCTGTGTCTCTTCTATAGAAAAGAAGGTTACCACTGGTGAGGAACATAGCTGAAACATGAAATAATAAAGCAAATATAAAGTATTATCCTCCCCATCCCAGAGCTATTGCACATAGCAGACCCTGCTTAATATTTGTGTTGGCTAAGTGTGGTGGGGAATACCTGTAATCCCCACACTAGGGAGGCTGAGATGAGAATTGCCCTGAAATTGAGGCCATCCTGGGGTATATATAAGTGAATCCAAGGCTAGCCTGCACTTCATATTAAGGCCCTGTCTGTCTGCCTATCTATATTTATATATAAATATCTATTATTATTCATATATTTGTGCTAAACAGATGATCATACCTGAGTGAGAGTTTGGTGATTTAGCACCACTGTTTAAGGAAAGCTTCTAAATTTTCTGTATTTGGGGGCCAAGGAGATGGCTCAGTAGAATAAGCGCTTGCCTGGCAAGCACAAGGGCCTAAATTCAATCCCCGTTTCCACCCCAAATAAATAAATTAATTTAATTAAATAAAAAATTTTCTGTATTCAAAAGTAAAATTTAGTTAACTGGGTGAAAGCAGGAATTTATTTATTTATTTATTTATTTATTTATTTTTGAGATGGTCTTGCTGTGCAGCCCAGGCTGGCCTTAATCCTGGTAATCTTCCTACCTCAGCCTCCCAGGTGCTGGGCTGGAAACTTTGTATCATTTGCTCAAACCTGGTTTTCACCTACAGAAGAGCCAGGCTTAAAAATTTGTTTTCTTTTGTGTCCTGAGATGGAACCCAGATCCTTGATTTTGTTAAATATATACTTGACCCCTGAATAACACGTCTAGCTCCACTGTTCTAAACAAGATCAGTTTTGGTAACAGCCACTACAGAGACTCAGTGCAGGTCTGCTCTGTGCCTGACTTCTTGCTAATTGCCATCTCTGGTGCACATCCATCCTGGAAGCAGCGGCCTTCCTAACTCTGTCTGTTGTCCCTGCCTCTCCTATTAATTAACTTATTTAGACAGGGTCTCATTATTCACTCAGACGGGCCTTGAACTCATGAAATTCTCCTGCCTCAGCCTTCCAAAGCTAAGATTACAGGTGTTTGTCACCATGCCGTCTTTTTTGTCTTTTAAAGACCTGGTTTCACTATCCAGTTCAGACTGGCATTGAGCTCACTTTGTTGCCCATGTTGCCTTCAACTTGCAGTGATCTTCCTGCCTCAGCTTCCCAAGTGTTAGTGTTACAGAGTGTGCCACCATGCTTGGTTTTAGGTTTTTGTTTTGTTTTGGCGGAACCAGGGATTAAACTCAGGCCCTTGGCGCTTGCCAGGGAAGCGCTTATACTACTGAGCCACCTCCCCGGCCCCACCACCATGCTTGGAACCTGTTTATTTTATTTTACTTTTTTCCTGTCTCTGTTTTACTTACTGTATTTTAATACAGGGTCTCACTACACAGATCTGACTCATAGTGATTCTCCTGTTTTCAGCCTCCCAAGCACTGGGATTACAGGTGTGTGCCACTACACCCAGTCTCAGTCACTGTCTCAGTGCACTCAGGAGGGTGGGGCTGGCGCTTTAATCTGCTGAGCTATCTGGCTGGCCCCTCCTGTCTTTTAAATGACTGGCTTCATTTCAAATTTTATTTCAGTTCACATGCTTTTTCCGGCTGCTTGGGCAATAGAGGTGTACGCATAGAGCACCTGCCTCTCCCTTCTCTCTACTCCACACTGTCTTATGTAGTTTTAGTGTCCAGAAGGCATGAGACCGATCAGGAGTACAGGCTATGTGAGAGTGGAAAAATTATTTAAGAAGCTGATAACTTGGGCAACCACAGAAGGCCTGGTAACATAAACCATATCGTGTCGTGCTCAAGTCTATTGAGAATTTCAATTATAACTAGCCGAGATAAATGAATAGTTCAAGGAAAGATGATGATAGCTAGGCATGGTGGTGCATTTAAAGTTGTTTACCCTGTATCTTGAAAAGGGTAAAGATTTGTAAAAGCCATATAATATTTTGTATGAATCCATGTTTTATTATATTTAATTTCAGATTGGATATTGGTTGCAGATTTGACTAACCTGTGTCTGAGCTTTCCCTTCCCTAACAATGATGCAGTCATTGTGCAGGGCGGGCCCCTCTCCACCAACGCATGTGGGCTTGGTAGATAAAGGGAGAATAACAGTAAATTTCCACACTTGCAACATGGCTCACTTTAATAATCACATCAGGCACTTGTCTGGAAGACACGCAGGAAGAGATTATGATAGACTTGTGTAACTCAGTACTTAAAATGACAACCCAAGCCTGCCTGGCTTGCTCCAATAAGAAGCACAAAGTTGCTTCAGAGTTTAGAAACATCTGGGCTGGTGTATGTGTGTGTGTGTGTGTGGGGGTGTTTCATGTACATCACTCCAGGGATGTGCCCTGGCTGGAGAGTTTTAAATTGTCTTGCTTTTCTCTTCATTGAGTCTGGATCGTAGTAGCAAATATACTCCAAAATGAGCAACTGAAAACAATAGCATGCCAGGGAGATAGCTCAGTACAATAAGCTCTTGCCTGGCAAGTGCAAGGTCCTGAGTTCAATCCCCAGTACCGCCAAAAAAAGAAATGAAAACAATAACGTGTGAGTATAGAGCAACTTTCTCGGCCTCTTACAGTTTTTCACCCACTTGGCCTGGAGGAGACGGTGTTAAGTAGTAGCCAAAAGAGACCACCCAACCTACTCGTTGAATGACAAGTTAAACTTCTGGGTTCAAATCAAAGTGATGTGACCTCAAGCAAGTTACTAGCCTCCCTAATATCAGTATTTTTCTTATGTAAAGTGTTAATAATCAACACCCACTTTTAGGGTTGTCCTCAAGATATGAGGCAGCTGTGTTAAGCAAATGATTGATAAGTGCAAGTACAGAACCTGGCTGTCAAGAAAATTGAAGTTAGTGCTCCCATAAGCATAACTGGATTCATAACTTCCATAACTGAGTCTTTACTTGGAAAAGATAGTTTTGTTTTTTCTCTGTGTGTGTGTGTGTGTGTGTACACATGCACTTTTTTGAGACAGGGTTCCACTGTGTAGCCCAGGCTGACCTCAAATGGTGATCTGGATGTGAAGGCAATCTGGCTGTGACATCTGTCACCCCGTTGATCACCAAGGTTTGTCCCCTTCCTCCCTTGTGCTCTGTGTGTCCCTCCCAAAAGAGGACAACCACCTCCTATAAGGAGGACCATTTCCTTGCTCAGGGATATATGAGTAGCTGCGTTCCCCTGCTGACCCTCCAAACAAACTCTCACAGGTAATCTCCTGCCTCAGCCTCTGGAATAGTGGACTTACGTGCCTGTTACCACACCGAGCCACAGAGGATAAACTACACTTCCAGCAAAGTAAAGTGAGTTTGGGGTTTTTTCCCATATTCACTACTGTAATGGTGGTTGTTACACTAAAAATTATTTTTTCCTTGCAGTGCTAGAGCTCAATCCCAAGGCCTTACACACATTGGACAAATACTTATCACTGAGCTGTATATCAGCCATGCTTTTTTTTTTTTCCCTAAAGGAAAGGGCTCAATAAATTGCCCACTCCAGGCTTGTGTT